CTAAAATATTAATATTTTAGTATATGTGAAAAGCATGGACTTAATTTGATTTTATAGGTATGATTTAAACCACCCAAAATGACTTTCATAGTTTTATTTTTGTAATTGGTAAGATGTTTTCATTTTGATAGTTTTGAAACAATTAACTCATATGAGTTTTATAGGTCTCTGACTGTAATTTGAGAACAACTGGTTTACCTTCATTTTCTAGATAAGGAAGTTGAAATCCACAGAAGTAGAAAATCACCTGTCTCACAAGTTTCGGGTACCCTGTTTTCCCTATAGCTTGTATATGGAAGGTTTAAGACTAGCATCCAGACCTCCTCTGACTCCTAGGCTCAGTATTTTTTTCTTACACTGGGACCCCTAAGCTTCTTGTCACAGAGAACTTTCACGATAGGGGACAGTGGCTTGAGGTCTCCAAAGTGCTTTCCCAGAAAGGCCTCAGGGAGGTGCTGAGATGACCCTTTTCCTACAGATGTGTCCATCGAGATGCCAGAGGAGCTGGACATCTCCCAGTTGAGGGGTACAGGGCTGCAGCCGGGAGAGGAGGAGCTGCCGGACATTGCCCCACCCCTGGTCACTCCGGATGAGCCCAAAGGTAGCCTTGGTTTCTATGGCAACGAAGACGAAGACTCCTTCTGCTCCCCTCACTTCTCCTCTCCAACATGTTAGTGACTCTTCTTCCTGCCTGTCTCTCCCTTGCTGATAGGGGCCTCTCTGCTTTGCCTCCCTGACCCTTTCCTTTGTGTTTCTCCTATCCTCCCTTTCAAATTTCCTCTGCCGTCTTTTGATGGAGGTAGGGACAGATTAGAGCACTCCAGCCACATTTCCAGTGTGGATGGCAGGAGTACTGGCTTATTGCCTCTTTGCCCTTATCTCCTTGGTTTGGATGGGTGGGAGTATCGTGCTCCAGAAACAGGGGCCTGTTCTGTAAGAGTGGGCCAGGAATCTGTTGGACCCACATCATATTGTGTGGTTGTTGTAGTTCTAGGATGAAGCACCAGTGTGTGAAGAAAAATGCATGAAATAAGTGATTGGCAGAGGCTAGGGGTGGGCCTGGGACAGGGGGGAGGAACAAATAGGGGCCCAGGTAGCCAGTCACTGCCCACATTTCCCCATCACAGCACCCATGTTGGATGAGTCGGTCATCATACAACTGGTGGAAATGGGCTTCCCCATGGATGCCTGTCGCAAAGCTGTCTACTACACAGGCAACAGTGGGGCTGAGGCTGCTATGAATTGGGTCATGTCACACATGGATGATCCAGGTAGGCAGGGGTGGGTAGCGGGGTAGTGCAGGGCCTCTGTCCTCCCCAAACACTGCAACCTCTTCAAATCCATAGATTTTGCAAACCCCCTCATCCTGCCTGGCTCCAGTGGACCTGGTTCCACAAGTGCAGCAGCTGAGCCCCCACCAGAGGACTGTGTGACCACCATCGTCTCCATGGGCTTCTCCCGGGATCAGGCCCTGAAAGCTCTTCGGGCCACGGTATGGGCTGCCCCAGCTAAGGACTTAGGGCCAATGGGGAAAGGGGGTGGGAGCATTGATCCATCCTCTGGGAGCAAGACCAAGGACAAGGCTGGGTACTACCCCTCTGTGGCTGTGAGGAAGTAGCTGTAGCTCTCTTTCACTGAAGGCTTTATTGCTCCAGAACTTGTTAGAAAAAAAGTAGCACTTCAGCTGGGTGTGGTGGCTCACACCTGTAATTCCAGCACTCTAGGAGGCTGAGACAGGTGCCTAAGCTTTCGGGTTTGAGACCAGCCTGAGCTAGAGCCAGACTCTGTCTCTAAAAACTTAGCCAGGTGTTGTGGCAGGTACCTATAATCCCAGCTACTTGGGAGGCTGAGGCAGGAGGATCCTTCGAGCCCAACAGTTTGAGGTTGCTGAGTTGTGACACCACAACACTCTACCCAGGGCAACAAAGTGAGACTCTGTCTCAAAAATAGAAAAAGAAAAAGTAATGGGCAGTGCCTGTGGCTCAGTGAGTAGGGTTGGCTGGTTCAAACCTGGCCCAGGCCAAACTGCAACAAAAAATAGCTGAGCATCGTGGTGGGTGCCTGTAGTCCCAGCTACTTGGGAGGCTAAGGCAAGAGAATCACCTAAACCCAGGAGTTGGAGGTTGCTATGAGCTGTGACACCATGGCACTCTGCCGAGGGCGATAAAAGTGAGACTCTGTCTCTAAAAAAAAATGAAAAAGTAACACTTCCCTCCTCTCCAAGAACAATAGTTTAGAACGGGCCGTGGACTGGATCTTCAGTCACATTGATGACCTGGATGCCGAAGCTGCCATGGACATCTCAGAAGGCCGCTCAGCTGCTGATTCCATCTCTGAGTCTGTGCCTGTTGGACCTAAAGTCCGGGATGGTCCTGGAAGTGAGTCTCCCCAGGAGTAGACTGGTGGAATCAGACCCCTCATTCCAAAGCAGCTCTGCTTTCCTGGGGGTTGGAGGCTTCTCTCCACTAATATGACTTCTGAGGGTGGACTCCAGGAGACTGGGGCAGCTTTTGACCCAGTACTTGCCCCACAGTCCCTGAAACTCATGTCTTGAGTCTGAGTTGTTACATTTATTTTTAGACTGTCACTCAAGGATTCCTCTCATTTTCTTCTTTGTCTTCTGTTTCTCTTCCTAGAGTATCAGCTCTTTGCCTTCATTAGTCACATGGGGACTTCTACCATGTGTGGTCACTACGTCTGCCATATCAAGAAGGAAGGCAGGTGAGGGGCTAGCCATGTGTGTTTTGAATGGAGAAGTGGAGACAGGAAGGAGTGTCAGTATCCTAAAAGTCCCTAGAATGTTTGTGGGAGAAGGTAAAGACTGGCTGACAGGGACAAACACACCAGAGAGTGAGAGAGCTTCTTAGGGTAGGAATAGGCCAACTACAGCCCAAGGGCTAAATCTGGCCACCTGTTTTTGTAAAGAAAGTTTTACTGGCTGGCTATACAATGGCTAACAGCCACACTTGTTTTATATCCTTTGTGGCTTTTTTCACACTGCAACAAGAAAGTTGAGTAGTTGTGTCAGAGGCCAGATGGATTGCAGAATCCTTAAATATGTACCTTTGGCCCCTTCCAGAAAAAATGTGCTAATCCCTATCTCACAGGAATGGGTGGGGTTTGGTTGTAAAGATACTGGAGGATATGAAGACATTGATATGGGAAATTACCTTTGTTGTAAGATCATAAAGCTCTCTTCAGATGGGTGGGAGCAAGACTGTAGGTTTTGGGGGTCTATGGGCAGAGAATATTGGGAGTCTTGGCCCCAGAGTCAACAGTCTCACATCCTGGAGCTATGTCTGAGAGACGAAGCTGATGCAGTGTGTTCATCCTATTCTGCCTCTTCCCACACTTCCCTAGATGGGTGATCTACAATGACCAGAAAGTGTGTGCCTCTGAGAAGCCGCCCAAGGATTTGGGCTACATCTACTTCTACCAGAGAGTAGCCAGCTAAGAACTTGCCCTCACCCCTTACCACTGTGGGCAGGGGACACACCACCTGGCATGGGGGATAGGGGCTGAGGGATGGACTTCAGCCCCCCTGCTTGGTACCCTTTTTCTTTTTGTCCCCAGCAGCAGGGAAGAAGCCAGAGGCCATAGGAGAATGGCCAAGCTACAGCAGAGGGGGCTGTAGACTCTGGGGATGGAGCAGGAAGGGGACGGGAGGGGGTCAACCCACCCACTGCCTGTCTGTAAGGAGACTTTGTTGTTTCCCTTGCCCTGGAATCCACAGCGCTCTGCTTCTTTGTAACCCTGCCCAGCCTCCTGGTGTGGAGGGGAGGGGTCTTATTTGTGTGTGTGTGTGTGGGTGTAGCTTTGTGCAGCCTCTTCAGGGGAGGGAGTGTCTGTGCCTGTCCTCCCCCTTTGTGTTTGCCTCTGTGTGGTTGGGCAAGGAGGGATAAGAGGGAAATGAGGACCCACCCTTGCCCTCCTGCCTCGTCTCCCACCCCCACCCATCTCTTCCCTGTACTTCTCTGGAAAATGCCAAAATACATGATGTGAATAAAAGTACAATGGCTAAATTGTGTCATGTTTGATACCTTGAGAGAGACTTATTTTCTGGGGTTAGCAAGAGGGCCAGTTTCAGAAAACTGCCACCTCTGTCCCCTGCCCTCAAGGCAGCTCTCTACTTTTCACTAGTTCTGGAGTTCTTGGAAAACTGGAGTGGGGATGTGGAGTTGTATAAAGGCAGAGCTGAAGGCAAAGGAGAGATGGAGTGAAGAGCCTTTCCTTTCTGTAGTCACACAAGGGAAGGCCCAAGTGTTTCCCAGATGTCCTTCATTCTCAGGCCTAGGCCAGCTGGAGTCAAAGAGCGGGTCACACTGTGGCTGGTCACCCTGGGTGCCTTAGGCATCAGGGCTGTAGCTACTCCGATGGAGAAAGGGCTTCTCTTTATCAGAATCAGATGATGCCCTTGCCGTTTTTGTTTTTGTTTTTTTGAGATAGTCTCAGTCGCCCTGGGGTTGAGAGTCACCCTGGGGTTAAATGCTATGGCATCATAGCTCACAGCAACCTCAGACTCTTGGGCTCAAGCGATCCTCTTGCCTCAACCTCCCGAGTAGCTGAGACTGCAGGCGCCCGTCACAACGCCCGACTATTTTTTAGAGATGGAGGTCTCGCTCTTGCTTAGGCTGGTCTCAAACTCCTGAGCTCAGGCAATCCACCCGCCTAGGGCTCCCTGAGTGCTGGGATTTGAGGCGTGAGCCACCGCGCTCGGCACATCCTCAGCGCTTTTGGTCCCAGTGAGCAATTTGGTCATTGCCAACTTGTTGCCAGTAGGCTCCACTCAGAACCCCGCTGGTCCTCTGAGGGGATGAAGTCGCAGTGTGGGTTTCCCGGAGCGCAGGGACTCAACAGTTCTCGCCTTCTCCCGAAAGCTAGGCAACTGAGGCAGAAGCGACGAAGCCCTCCCAGACGTTTGGTATAGAACGTTGCTACAAGAAAGACAGAACGTCAGAACATTGCAACAGCGGCGGGCTGCGGGCTGCAGGCGGGCCAGGGGGAGGGAGGGATCCAAGCTGGGCGGGCTCACCATGGACCGGGATGGCGAGGAGGCGGAGTTTTGCTTCGCAGCTCTTTATATAAGCGGGCAGTGGCCGCGGCTGCGCGGTGATACTGACCTTCAGTGTGTCGCCACCAGCACCATGGCGCCCTCCAGGAAGTTCTTCGTCGGGGGGAACTGGAAGATGAACGGGAGGAAGAAGTGTCTAGGGGAACTCGTTAGCACTCTGAACGCAGCCAAGGTGCCGTCCGATACCGGTGAGCCCTTGCCAGGGCAGGGTCTGGGTCGAGGGCTGGGGGTCAGCTGTGGCAGTGTCCCCTCCCGAGCTCTGAGTGCCTGCCTAGACCTGGATGCAGGGCTGGGGGACGGGGGCCACTGGGTGTCCGGGCCTGAGCCCTGTGGCGCAGTGGTCCCGCAGCAGCAGTGGCAGAGGTTTGTTGAGGGGGTAGGCTGGACATTTAATGGTGCCCTAGCGGATTGTGGGCGGTAGCGTTGCCGGGAGAAAGATGGCCCCAGGACTCGAACTGGGGCTAAATCAGCCAGGAGCCAGGCGGTGGGGGGAGCGGAGTCTGAGCCTCTGTGGGCGATCGGGAGAAGGTGGCTGCAGCCCCCGGGTGTGTGAGTGAGCAGGCCCGGCTTGTGCGTGTTCCTTGCTACCTGCCCCCCTAGGCAGCTGGCTCCGTGCGCCACCGCACGTAGCCCTAGACTCCTCCCAGCGCCTTGCCGAGCGCGCCGAATCCCCAGGCCAAGCTCTCAGCTCGAGCCACAGCTATGAACCCTTCCCTTCGCCAGCCTGGGTGATTCCTGCCTTCCATGGAAGGGACCGAGCAGGCTGAGCCCTTGGGAGGAGCGATCCCACAGCTTCCCTAAACCTGGAAACGTGAAAGTACTAGACCTCTATGAGCTAATCAACTTCCTGCCACCCAGGTGCAAAAGAGTGCATCCTTCCCCACCCGCCTAGATCACAGAACCACGGGCCTCATCAATTGAGACATCCCCAGAAACCCAATACAAATCAAGAGTTAGCCCCTTCTTTTGCTAAAAATCCTTGCCTGCCTGAGGAGAGTGAGGATGGGCTATTTTAGAAGGGAGACAGGATTGGCCCCTAGAGAATGCTGAGTCTGGAAGGTGCCTGCCCATCCCCAGAATAGCTTGAGGAAATTGGAGCCACAGCTGTTAAGAGAGCAGAGGGCAGAGCGAGGACCATGGCCTCTTAGGGTCACTTGGAAGGCTCTAAGGTTTGGGTGCAGGCCCAGCATGGGCTGGAAAGTGAACATAGGTCATCTTGCTGGAGTGAAAAAGGAAAAGCAGAACCAAGAAAGAGGGTGAAGGCTGGGGGCTCTGGAGCACTAAATAGGAAGTCTGGAAAATGAAGGCTTTCTTGGATCTCCTCCTCAGAGGTGGTTTGTGCACCCCCCACTGCCTACATCGACTTCACCAGGCAGAAGCTGGATCCCAAGATTGCTGTGTCTGCACAGAACTGCTACAAAGTGACAAATGGTGCCTTTACTGGGGAGATCAGGTGAGATGAGGGCAAAGATGGGTGCATAGGGACCCTTTCCTAGTTGTGGAGAAAGCCATAGGGTGGATTCCCTGCTGAACCTTGGCTCTGTCTCTCCTTTTAGCCCAGGCATGATCAAAGACTGTGGAGCCACATGGGTAATTCTGGGGCACTCAGAGAGAAGACATGTCTTTGGGGAGTCAGATGAGGTTAGTATCCAAGAGAGGAGATAAGAGATGCATTATTCCAAGAGGGATGTCTCACTAAGTCTGTTTCTCAACAGCTGATTGGACAGAAAGTGGCCCATGCTCTGGCAGAGGGACTTGGAGTAATCGCCTGCATCGGGGAAAAGCTTGATGAGAGAGAAGCTGGCATCACTGAGAAGGTTGTTTTCGAGCAAACCAAGGTCATCGCAGGTATTTCTATTAAGAAGGGTATTTGAGCCTAGCCAGGGCCACAATGTCTCTCAGAGTGCAGTCAGGTACCCTTGGAGACTTGGTCCCTATCAGTTCTGCTTCTGCCCCTGAAACTATCGGAGCCACCTGAGAATCCACCACCATCCAGCAGGGGGCAGTAGGCTATCATTCTTCATACCCTGGGGAATTTGGCTGGATGGCTGCTTCCTGTTCATTCTCCCTTCATCTGTGATCTCTGTCCTGTAGATAATGTGAAGGACTGGAACAAGGTCGTCCTGGCCTATGAGCCGGTGTGGGCCATTGGTACTGGCAAGACCGCAACACCTCAGCAGGTAACTGAGCCCTCTGCCCTTATCCTATCCAGCCTCAGTAGGACTGGACAGAGATCATCTGAGCCAACCCCTCATTTTAAAGATAGAACACTGGGGCCAGGTGCAGTGGCTCATGCCTGTAATCCCAGCACTCTGGGAGGCTGAGGCTGGTAGATTGCCTGAGCTCAGGAGTTCAAGACCAGCCTAAGCTAGAGTGAGACCTCATCTCTAAAAAATTGCCAGGCATTGTGGCATGCACCTATGTTCCCATTACTTAGAAGGCTGAGGCAAGAGGATTGCTTGAGCCCAAGAATTTGAGGTTTCTGTGAGCTGTGATGCCATGGCACTCTACTGAGGGTGATCAAATGAGACTCTGTTTCAAAAAAATAAAAAAGACAAAACATTGGAGCCCAGGAGGACTGTGACTTGTACTAAGGTACCTATTCCACAGCCTGTCTGGGATCAGAGCCCTGGTACTGACTCATAGGATTCTTGCAAGAAGCCACACTAACTCTTCACTGGTGCCAGTGATTTTTTTTCCTCTCCGAGTGAGCTTATACTGGCTTCTTCTTGTAGGCCCAGGAAGTACATGAGAAACTCCGGGGATGGCTTAAGTCCAATGTCTCTGATGCAGTGGCTCAGAGCACCCGAATCATTTATGGAGGTGAGTAGGTCTTAATGAGGTGGTGTGGGCTGAGAACCAGACTGAGCCCTCAGACATGGAGGCAGGGATGGAGTGTACTTATTCCATCCTTGACCAAGTTCTCTTTCTGCTCCCTTCCCAGGTTCTGTAACTGGGGCAAACTGCAAGGAGCTAGCAAGCCAGCCTGATGTGGATGGCTTCCTTGTGGGTGGTGCTTCCCTCAAGCCAGAATTTG